CAATCGTTTTCGCTGGTGGAAAAACGATTTTAGAATGTATGGAGAAATTCACATTTTATTAAATTAAATCAACTCTCCATATCTCGATATATAACCACTTTTTCTATATGTCGATGGCTATTATGGTCCCTTCAAACGGTCTAGTAGCAACAATCAATACGAAACTAACGATTTTAAATTGGCTCACTACTTGATTAGCCTATTGGTCCCAAGCAAATCGACTAACGTACTCCATTCTAGTATAAATTCCAGTACTACACTATGTTTGTTTTGATTCGCTTTGAAAGCTTGACAGATAAAATGAGGGGTTAGTGAATTTTCCTATATTTCGAGGGGTGCATCGATTTGCTTGGGACCGAAGATAGAACCAAGGGCTGAGCCAAAAAGTTGAGCTCGTTTCTTCGGGACCTTCTGGTCTTAGAGTTACCTCTATTTTCATGTTCTACTATATATAGATCTCTTCATATCTCGATGGTCCCTTCTATATCGAGATCAGGGGTTGAAACAGTTGACGTTTTTTACTACACTCGCTTCGTTGTCGTGTGCGACAGTCTGTTTGTATTCGAACACTCATGCTCTACCGTCGTCTCTCTCACGCAACACGAGCGGTAGAATAACATTCGAGCTAAAAGAAAATTAGCAAAATAGCTATCATATGACATGTGTGATTTCGTTGTAATTCCTCAATTTGGTGTAAATCAAACCATTTCTGATCAGAAATATTATAACTAGGACATCATTACTTGCTATTTTCAGAATTCACACAAGTACAACATCAGCAGCTCTTAATATAAGAAAAACTAAAATACGTACATACGTGACGGTCTTCGGCGACAGTGTCGTATGACAGAGCCTGTCAAATGACATTCTAGTTTGGTACTGTACTATGATAGCTTGTTTTGCAAGTGTCGCAAGCAAAGGCAGTCAATTATCACAGAAAATGTGTCGACTACCGTGACCGCTTACAAGACTGATCGAAATAGATATGGAAAGTTGACTGTATATCGACAATGGTGCGCTTTGTACTATATTATTTCTACATAATATCGTTATTACTACTAGGAACAAAATGGAGTAATTTTCTCATCTATAGAAGTAACATTTGAGGAGAAATCGCTAATTTTATGAAAATCTCCATACAGCTATACTAGTTTATCCACCAGTACACTGGCGGGGTGCCTTCAGTCGGTTTTGATTATGAAAAGTATTTATTTTTTATTTATACAATACAAGAATAATAGCACAAGTCATCTACTAATGATTTTCAGAGTATATGCTACTATTACACTACCGATTTACCTATTAACCTAACTGAAGTAGTTGCTGCATAAGTTTTTAAATGTTGTTAAACTTCTTGCTGTCTTTCATTCCCTCGGTAGTTCATTCCATAATCGAATCGAACGATAGCGCAACGACACACTTGAAAAATTTGTAGAGCATCTTGGAATAATAAAAACACTTGACCTAGAAGATTGTGAGTGAATAAAGAAGTTTCGAAGATGTATAGAACTTTCGTTAAAAATTTTAAAAGTTTGAATACATTCTAAGTTTTATGTAGTTGACGAAATCGCATCCGAGTAATAAATTAGAAAAGTTAGAAATGTGATCGTAACTCCGCAGGTCGTACACGTATCTGGTAACGGCATTAAATACCAAGTTTAATTTCTTTGTATTTATCTTAGAAGTTAAGCTAAACAGAATATCCCGGTACAAAAATAACGGAACGATCAAGGATCTAGCCAGCTGATGTCTGAGGCGTGGAGTGACGTAACAAAACTAGGGAGTGAAGCATACAATACACTTTACTGTGGGTATATTATAATATATGCCACACCAACGGAAGGATCAAATTTCATGACCAGCTTTCTTTAGAAGATTTGTCAAATGTTCGGACCGACTTATTTTTACATCAGTCAAACATTTGATAGAAAGTGACCCAAAAGGAGCTTGAAACATCATTGAAGTGAGACCCAAATCCAAATTGTATGTGAACACGGCAGCCACGTGGTGCTTTCCCTTATAGGGACGTCGATTTCATGCACCTAAACTGTCAAACGAAACCATATCCCATTGAGATTAGTGAAATCTGGTCAGTCACGAAAGCGATTCCCCAAACACAGTCATCAAAATCGAAGTAGTGAACCAAGATTTCTTACTAATGATTGCTAGCGTATTTTAGAAATGAATCAATCATAAATTGCAGGGATGTCCCAAATAAGTGAAGAAAAAATAAAAAGGCATATCTTTGAATCCAAAAGGTATTTTTTATTGGTTATTTTTTGAGTTTTGCATGTGACATTTAGAAGTATAACAGGACACACTTACAGTTAAATTCAATCACCTTAAGCTTTTATGATTACATTGAGGCTTTTCGGAAGGGCATTGTAAGTGGCACGTCCCTCAGGAATTCAAGAATTTTGCAAACCGTAGCCTCCTCACTTTTTACCTGTGCACATACTTGTGAAACTTGATATCTAGCAACATTTATATTCAAATCGATTACAAAGGCACAGAATCTTCTAGGACAAGGCTGGTAGTTTGAATTGAGTACTTGGCACTAAGGAACTCTACAGTAGTTATGACGAAATATGCAAAAAATAAACAATTCAGTGCAAACATTTCAAAAGTTCCAAATTACCATTGTAAACAATGGCTTTAGCCGTTGATTTCTCGCGAATAAAAACTCATGTGCAAATTAACTACACCGCCAAGGAATGTTTTCTCTAACAGCCGGCATCGTTAATTTAGAGGACTAAGCTTTTAATGCGAGAAATCGGCGGTTGAAGTCGTTGTTTACAAAAGCAGTTTCGCCATAATGAAATGTTGACACTGAATTATAACCAGGGTGACCAGCCATCCGGAAAAAAATCAAGGAATTTTTAAAAACCATGAAAAAAGCTGGGAAAAACGTTGAATTTCGATGTCATATCGGGGAAAATATACTTCCTTTTTTCGCAAACAAATTCTAAACCTTGGAGGCTTTTCAAGGATATTGGTATATAGGATATTGGTGTGTTAGATTTTCAGAAGTCAATAATTATCAAGAAATTTTATTGAAAATTCCAATGGAAATTTGAAGAGAATTTTAAAGGAATTCTAGAAAGGGCACCAGAGAAGAATACCAAAGTCCATACTACGATAGTCTTGTATAAATTTAGGTGCTCTGAGGGCCGATTTCTTCACCTCCGCTTAAATTTTCAACTAGGTTTACCCATATACCAGTTTTAACTATATGGGTAAACCTGGTAAGGCTTAAGCGGAGGTTAAAAAATAGGCCGTGTGGTTAACACATACGAGCGTCACTTAATATTAAATTATGAAAGATGCAACATTCAGCTAAAAAAAATGTTTTGGAAAAATTCCATTGTAATTGAGGGAAAAGTCCAGGTGCAGGAGTTCTGAAAAGAATTATTTAGGTATTTAAGTATTTGAAAAAAGTTCTGAGAATTTTTTTCAGAGAGCTCTGATGAGAAGTTCAAAGAAATACCGTGAACTCCAAAGGCAATGGACTTTACGGATAGTTTTAAAGGAATCCTGAGGCTAATTCCAAAAGAATTTTAAATAATTCAAAAGAGTTTCAAGGATATGGGATGGATTTTTGGTTTAAAATTGCACCAGAGTGTCTACTACCTGGGAAAACATGAAATCTTCAGGGTAATTTTCAAATCCCTTTACCAAGCACCTTTTTAAGAATAGAATATGTTGAAGTACGCCAGACAACCTTCGTAGGAATTTTATCTTCCTTGTTAGTTACTCTTTTTCTCTGAACCAAATACTTAATTGTGGAGTGGATTTATCTTCAGTAACAATATAAATTCTTAGTCTTGAATTCCAAAAAAAAAACAATGAACTTTCTGATGCTGACTTAAACAGTACACACTTATAAATAACTAATTTTACTAGTGACGGAACCCGTCTTTGAAATAATGGATAAGACGTAAACAAACATGTCATTTAAAACTAGGGTCTCTAAGACTGAAAAAATCGTTACATGATGAAAAGTACGTTTGATTGAGTGGAATTTAATTTACATAATTCATCGATGAGACAGTAGTTTAAAGCAGAATTGAGCTCATATGAATTACAGCTATACATCATATTTCTCGTGTCACTTTTCAAAAAGACCAATCTTTATTGATCTATTCTCTTTACCGACTCTCTCTTTCGTAAATAATTCGGCTACAAAAAAACGTTTCCTGTCATCTTTGTCGAATTAGATGCTGGATTGTTGCTTCTTCCATCAAACTATGTGTCGAAAATAGTGGAGATGAACCAGCTAAATGCTAAAAATCCCCTTAATAAAAAAACAATACATTTGTGGAAAATATGCGGAAATATCTTAACAGAAAAAGTCGATGAAGAAAATCGATCAATGTAAATAGGACCTATTGAAAAGTGACGCGAGATTTGTGTGTGGCTCAACAGATCCGGATTTATTGCGTGGCGAAAAAGTTACATTGTCGAACATATTGTGTTCCGCTCTTTACTCTAGGAATTGTAAATTGATAATCGCTTTTAAAATTATTTTATTAATAATTTATTGTTTGTGCTGAAGTAGCTTTAAAACCGATAAGTATTACATTGCAATGTTTTATTATTTTTTAGAATGCTCCCCATGCGATATTACATACTAACCTATTATCAATTGTTTTAAATGCACTGGAATGCAAATAGAACAATATTTGTACAATACCATACTGTATAACTTAAAACATGCATGTACGTACATTACACCATCACTGTCAAAGTACAAACCCTTTTTGAAAGTATTGACCATGAGGACTCCAGTTACATATGAGTGAGGGTGCGTGTGTTAGTGTCTCTGTCATCAACATGTTTGTTTTCCATCCTTTCGTTATCAGTTCCGCTTTTTCCTCTTCCTCAGTTTCACATGTGTTCGATTTCGATTTCATTTCATATTATTTTCGTTTCTCAAACCAAATAAAAATCAATATTAATTCGACCAAATTGATTTGACTCTGGGGTTTGCTATTGAACAGGGCTGAACACGGAGCCGGAGCGAATGCAGGGGGCAGGAGTGCCGGGGGCAAATTATCTATCCGACGTCGCAGGAAAGGCCCCCGAGCGGAGTGAGTAGAGCCCCAAATTCAAAACAAAAATTTCGAAACAGCGCAATGTTTCTCTCTTTCTCCCGAAATCTTTGTTATCATTTTCTCCTTTTAATTTATGATGAATTTTCACCAGAATACAACCCTCATTTATTAATAAGAACCAAAATTGCTCAATTGAAATCATTGCCCAATATTTGCCTATCGTTGTTTTTCCTGTAACTGCTAAAACTTTCAGAAATCTATATCCGTTCCTAGCTAGTTTTGCTGCAAAACATGTTCATTCATCGTGCATAGAGTAAATAATATTTTAATAAAGTATTGTTTTACGTGAATACTTGCTCTGAAAACCTTGACCAAAACAGAATGCAACCCCCAGATTTACATCATTTTAGCCTAAGTGTTGTAATTATTTTTGCATATTATTGTTTCAAACCCACGAGTAAACAATTTTTTTTTGTTTAGTTTAACACTGTTCAATCAACTGTTTCTACAAACAACAAGTAAGCTAGTGTCTTGTTGCATGTATAATTTTGCTTCTTTACAATTGCTTATTAACTAACACACATTAATTATATGCATATATATATATATTCATTCATTTTGCTCAAGTAATCCGAAATCAGATGTACCATTGATCTCTTTTAATAAAGGTTGAATAAACAAGACATACCATTGGTTGACTATCGTATCTGCCTCCTCAAAAAAATAATATTCCCATCTTTGTTTCACTGTGCGTCAAAACAATCGAATAAATCACTAATATACCACGCAAATATGTATTAAATACGTTGGCTTCTTTTTTACACCATAGCTAGCCCATAGTTCTGACATTTATTGCCGGAGAAGGGTTAAATTTAGAATTGCAAATGTTGTGTTGTTCAAAATCCTATTGACATCTGGAGATTTTAATTCACAGGTTCCCGCACACAAGGTTTGTCACAGTTTGAACGAAAAACCAAATCCATTCAGAAGCTCTATTCGCTGAAGATAGTGTTTAGTTATGTTTTGGTGTTCACGTAATTTTCGGTTTATTTTTGGGGATTTTCTAGCGTTCAGAATCATAGGGCCTAACTGCAATGATCGATTCTCTTCATCGATTTTCTCTTTAAGCTACTACAGTTGAGTGAACTATTTTTTTTTTAATTGCGGTGCCTTAAAAAGTTGTATGTATTGGTTAGCAAAATCAACCGAAAAAAAAACTTCGCGAAATGTTAATCGACTCGAGTTATAGTTGCACCACCACTAAACCGAAGCGCACTAAATACTGCCTAACCTGACTCATAACGAATATACGTTGTATCCGGGGGAACATAAAATCGTCTAATGTTGCATTGCAAATGCTACGTTAAAAGTTAAAAACCCGAGGGACTGCGGACACAAAGTATATTCGTTATGATTCAAGTAACTCAGCAGCAACTTCCGACGTCCAGTAATGCCAGCGAGAAATGTTACGATCTTCAGCCGTATGCACAATATTAACAAAATAAAATCGATTAAGTGAATAGATCCTTGCAGTTAGGCCCTTATGATTTTAAACACTAGATTTATCCAATTTAATAAAAAATGCTCTTCAGTTTGAACCATTAACGCCCAGTGATCTATTTATTGATCAGTTTTTTTTTTCTTTTATCATATATTAACAGAAATTGGGAAAGTATATTTTCCATACCACTTTAATGTCTTTAACATCTTGTTTTCAAATAGGAGGAGGATAATCCTTGGGTTACTCCTGAAAAAATCGCGTATTGTCCGGAGGTCAAAAATGACTTGGGGGTTAACGGGTGAGATGCCGTCTCAAGATAAAAATCTATCCCTCGCCTTGTTTTTTTTTTTTTAAATAAAAATTACCCATAAGTTTTAAATGTCAAAGTTTATCAACAAACTTTGTTTTGTAAAAATTTGCGCCATTATTTGATTTACAAGAAGTTAGTATAAAAAAACTGATTTTTTAGAGGCAACTGATCATTTTAGAGCTTGTAAAATAAAAAAATTGAAAAATTGTGTCTTGTGTCCGTTTTGGACCGTAGTACAAGTGGGAAAGCTTTACTATGAAAAGAGGTGCGATGTCAGGGATTGCACCCACGATCTTATTTTCAGTAAAGAAAAACGGTCGCCAATAGGTCACCGAATCTCTTACATCACAAAAACAAGACCGACGACATGAACATATTCAAATAAAATTATGCTACCTGAAGAAGTCAACTATGTTTTCACACTATAAATGAACACACATCGTATTCTACCGTCCGAGAATATCACTTTTTTTCGCACCGTTTCGACCGAATTCTATCAGTAACGATTTTGTATGTTCTATAGAACCGAACAAAACAAAAATTGGGAGCGGAAAACAAGCGACGCGATGCTAAGTCTAAAAAGAAGGAGTCTAGGATTGAACCTACGATCAAAAAACGGTCATAAAAATCGATTTCATAATTATTAATTTAACTTAATCGCACGATTTTCTGGTTTATATGACTAAACAAGCATCGTTCATAAACTCCCAGTGCTTGCAGGTCCTCCGTGAGCATCAGCATCTTGTACATGGCACACTTAGTACGGGAGTGGAGTTTACCAGACCTCAGGGTAATAAACTATGAATAGTCGAGTAAACTTTGTGTAGTTTAAAAGATTGATGTTTTAATAACAAATGAAAATAATCAGAGTTGAGAGAAAATACTATACTAATATCAACAAGAAGCTTTAGCGCGGTAATATAGCAAAATAATAGTTAGATAAAGAAGAGTTGCATTACAACACTAACAAACTATTCCACAACCGTAGACAGTATATGATCAAGGCAAATGCGCTCTCTTTTGCCTGTGGATTTGAGGAAATTCCTCAAATCCCCTCATCCATCAAAGTAGGTAAAGGAGTGCGCATTTGATTGACGCTTTAATGTGGTCCTTCACTCAATTTCGATTTCAATTTTCACACTGTCGTTTTCGAGCGGAACTATCAAACTATCCTTTGCACTATAGCTTTAGCCTGTTATTAGTACAGCATTTCCTCCCAACTCTCAGAATCGTAAAATTCACGTAGAAGTAACAAAACACTTTGATTGAATAAAAACAATGCCCTAATTTGGTTCATTGTATTTCAAGAAATAACAGTTTGAAAAAGGATAGCAAGAAAAAAATTGTATAACGGGTGTTCAATAAAAAATGAGAATTTTTTCAGTCATATAGCTAGTTAAAAAAAACATTTCAACGAATTCAGTATTTTTTTATTAAAAACATAATGTTTATTCTTCAAAACAACGTCAATGGATATTGGAGAAGGGACCCTGGTCAGCCGAACGACGCAACTTAGTCGCGATGTACTCACAAGAGCGCTGGACGGCACTGAAATCATTCTATTTTTTTATTGAACACCCGTTAATAAAATTCTTCAAGCTTCTCATAGACTAAACCAATAAAGTTGATCAACTGTCTGCCAAAATTTAAGAAATTTTGAAGCTCTGAACTTTTATGGAGAGACAAAAAAACACTATGCATTATTTTTGTCAGTCAGTTGCTGTTTGATCCAACATCCATGTTGGACAGACGCTCAGATTTGACGAAGAATCTCCTCTTCCGCCGTATACGAACTGGGATTATGACGAACAGCCCAAGAATTGTTTTTATTTTATCGTCATTTTACTGGGAATATCAGTATGCTGGAAGTCAAACTACATATACCATTTTATGTTACATCTTAATAAATAACGATTTTTTAACGCTAAATGGTTAAAAAATACTCAAGTTTAAGTCGACCAAATTTTGATCGTAAACACCCTTTAAGTCTGACTCAAATACTCCTTGAGTTATTTCTACAAATGGTCCTTGCACAACAATAATGCAACGTGCCTAGATTGGTAGTATCTCAAATACGCGAATAATATTCCAATGTAGAAAAGAGGCGTACCTAACAAACGTCCGATTTCTAATGTGTTTAAATCATTGGAAGGTTATTTCTTCAACTTTACATTAAAAGGCAACTAAGCATCATTCGATTTGCTGTTGCTTCTTTTTCTTGTATTTCTGAATCACAACTTTCTAAAAGTATTGGTAAAATTCGTTGGTAGCGTGCGTCGCCGTACCAAAACAGTCAATGAATCATAAATATCAACTGGTATGGTGAGCAAAATCTACCATCTCTTTTATTCTTTTGCTTTTCAATACAACAGCAAATGTGACGTCACACTGCATGCGTATAAGAATGTTGTAGACAAAACATTCACATTGCCAGACCACGCTGTATGACATTTAGTTTACACCCCTGAGCGGGAAAGCCAATAACAGGCTAAATGCAATGTTGCAATCTCCCCTGTTTGTGTTTAATTCAATCTTTTTTACCTTTGTTATTGGAACGTTTAAGTTCCAAAAAAGGTCCTTTTAGTTTTATTTATTCAGTTTTTGATACTTATTCTCCATTTAAAACATCCACTCATCTAAGTTATTGGTTCAAACTTCGTATTTGCATGTTTTAATAAACTTATATGGACTGCTAGAAGTAATACATCTGGTAACGCTTGTTCAATGATTCTTTTACGTTCGCTAGCAAAGAAGTGGAGTCGAAGTGATTTTCTTGGTGTTTTATTTTGTTCACCAAGAGATTAGACCTCCAGTTTATATTAATTTAGTGTATTCGATTACGCGAAATTTTGGAATGCTACGAAGAACACAAGTAAGTAAATGAAGTGATGGTGTTTTACCCAGAAAATATACGATGTAAAATCATGAAATACTTGCTTTAAATTTTCGGAGGCTTGTGTGTGACTGTATGTGTATTCTAATGATTGAAGAATATTTCAAATTTTGAAATTCAAAAACAAGAAGAATCTCAATTAATTGACTGGGTCTTGAACCTTAATATGTTGGTCCGCTGCCTGTTTTTTTTTGTAATTGCGCCGTAAAATCCAAATAATTATTTTTCAAACAAATTTTTTTCAACTTCCATTTGACTAAAGGGCGTCCACGATGAAATTGCCACACTATGAAATTGCTCTAACTTTTTAACCGTTGGGTAGAATTTAATGA